TTTTCTCTATATAGATTATCACACATAGCATCATATGTGTAGAGAACCTAGGATAACCCAAAAAAAGTCAACGTGGCTTATTTTTAGTACCTGGCTTGGGTTAGCCATATATGATTTTTGGTAAATATTCAATTCCCAGCCAGGGTAGAAATATTAGGCGTGTTTCTTTACACCTGTTGTCTATGTTTATCCATCAGTAAATGGGTACCAGGGTGTTAGCCGACTAGTGTGGGTGTTATCCTGGGACACTGACCTAATTTTCTTGAAATACTTTGCATAACAAGTGGCTTTCTATACAGTAGTATGTCACTGATGTCAGCTAGGCCTGTATACCTTGCACATGTACGTGTAGTAAATAAAGACATTATTATTATTATTATTTTCTCAGTTGTTTGTTGGGTTATCTTATTCAAACTTGGGCAATGTATGATGGAAAGATACTTCTTCACGTACACCAAAAATGAAAGAAATCAGACCATAAATAGCGGAGTTCACTTCTCAGCCACCAGCGGCCGCTTAGCAGTATATTTTTGTATGGTTGTCATTGTTATATTCTCTTTTTTTTTTTTTGGTCTCATTTGATAGAATGAAACAGATATACCTGCTTGACTTACGACTACTCGACTTACGACCGTGTTTTTTATGTCAAATTTCTGGGAAATAAACAACTATTTGTGTTGTACACAGTGTTTATCGTAAACCTTACAGTATAAAATACAGTACTAACAGCATAAAAAGTAAAGTAAAACATGAAATACCAAATAAAACAATCAATTAAGTCATTACAAAAATGTTTTGTTGATATTCAGTAGTAAAATTCGACTTACGACCATTTCGACTTACGACCGGTTTCTCGGAACCGAACTCGGTCGTAAGTCGGATGGTGGTAGGTGTACCTTGAAATTGCACTCACAATAGCGAAAATGTTCTATTCTTTATCGAAGCTCAAGAGTAAACAAATGACGTCACCGTTCAATACCCGTCCGCCTGCCAGTCTAAATTCCAGTACGGAGTCAAGAATGGCTTGACATTATTTATACAATTATTACAATAATGCAGCAGTCTGCATAACAGTAAATCTTCTATTTTTGTGTGAATAAAAATTCCAAATGAAAAGCAAGAGTAATAAGAGGGGCCTGTAGCCATGACTAATTAACAGAGAAAATGTTATTTTAGTGCCAGGAATGTCTGCATTGTTTATTCTGGACCCTATTTTGAAATTGGCGTCTGTTGAAATTTGTGTGAAATTGGCCAAACTGCCAATTTCTGACCACTTTATTGGGTAGTTGAAATAAGTGAATGGGCAGTTTCTTGTACTCAGTTGACAGACTAGAAGTAAATAAGTTTATTCAGGTATACACAAATACAGTTACATAGATTGTCATACATAGGAGCATATGTCTAGAGAACCTAGGATAATCCAAAAAAGTCAGACAAAGTAACTTATTTCCAGTACCTGGCTTGGGCTTGCCATATATGATTTTTGGTAAACATTTTTTTTTCTTGGTTGTTTGTTGGGCTATCTCATTGAAACTTGGGCAATGTATGATGGAAAGATGCTTCTTAACGTACAACAAAAATAAAAAAGACGGTTGATAAATAAGGGAGTTCACTTCTCAGCCATTAGCCGCCTCTTTGCAGTATATTTTCGTATGGTTTTTATGGTTGTATTCTCATTTTTTTGGACTCATTTGATAGAATGGAAGATATATTACAGAAATAGACATGATTTTGATTGCTTTCATGACGAAAAGTACCTTGAAATTGAGCTCAAAGTAGCGGAAATATTCAATTTTTGCCGATGTTCAATGAACTGTGTAAGTCAAGTTGGTTAATTTTATTAAGTGTATTCTAACCTAATCACTCTGTAATCCGGCACACTACAGGTCCCAATGATGCCGGATTTGTGATGGAGAACCTGTACGTCCAAAACCCTGAAAGGGTTAACATAATGATATATGGATCACCTATCACAAAGCTCACATAGGGAAAATTCTTAGGAATCCACCTCGATAATAGACTCAAATTTCAAACACATATACAACACATTCCCAAGAAAATCTCCAAGACCGTAGGCATACTATCGAAGATACGGTACTATTTTCCACAATCAGCCATCCTGGCCCTATATCACTCACTCATTTACCCCTATCTCACCTATGGAATTTGTGCATGGGGGCTTAACAACAATAAACCATCTCAGACCATTAATTACCCAACAAAAGGGTGCAGTCAGAATGATAACAAATTCCCACTCCAAGCAGCATATTCCACCAATATTCAAAACTCTAAACTTACTCACCATACAAAACATCCATACTTATTATTGTACCTACTACATACATAGAACACTTAACTCGGATATAAACCCTCCCCTCAAACTTCTCCTTACCAACCTCAACAGAACACATGACCACAACACAAGGGACAGATCACTCTTTGATGTTCCTCGTGTCCATCTCTATGTAAAAATGCAATGCACATAAAAGGCCCAAAAATCTGGAATTCATTACCTGTGAACATAAAAGAAACAATGTCTGTTTATCAATTCAAGACTCTTCTTAAAAACCACTTACTTACCCACAATTAAATAAATATGATTAACTGTATATCATAAATGTATAACCTGTGACCCTATCAAACTATGTTTTTTTTGTAATTACATTACCTACAAATTTGTACAACTATAAAGCCTCTTATTTAAAATACTCATTTGTACTTCATGTTGTAATTTGTTTACTGTATTTTTACCAGTGAATATATCATTGCTTAGTTAATCTTAAGTTAATTTTAAGCCTGCCCACAATGATCTGCATACAAGGGGCTTGTACACTCAACCACTGTATTTCTTTTGTGTAACTATGTATCATGTCCAAATAATAATAAAATAAATAAATAAATAAATAAATGGCCACCATGGTGGCCCTGTACACCCCAACAACAACAACAACAAAGGCTGTTGTGCCACCTCCATTAATACTACTCACATACGTATTATTTCATTCATTCTAGTATACTATATATCATGTTTCTATGTTAGTAATATTGTTTATGTCATATCAGATGAATTGTGATAGATAAATAAGCCGTAGAGTTGATACTAGGGAAATTATTGAAGTATTTTGTCATGCCTGGAATTCCATTTCAGTTAATTTAAATGAGGAAAATTGACACTGCAAATGAGCAAATCCAGATGCGAGCAAGGTCACGGAATGGTTTAAACTCGTAAGTAGAGGTTCCACTGTATACTGAAAAATCATCTCTTCTCCCAATAACAACCATACCCAGACTATGCTAATCTCTACCCAAATTTGAAGCAACTCTTCCAAATATTTTATTATCCCTTATCTATTAAGCCATTACTACAAACTTAAAAATGTATGTCTGTATTAAAAATTGTACTACCTCATATTAATAATAGAGCAAAATATTAAATATTTGTAATCTACCACTCTTCACCTGTCTAGACTTTAGTAGTCCAAGTATTAAGTCTGCCCGAAATGCCTCGGCATGATAGTGGCTTTCTTTGTACCAATCAAATTATGAAATGAAAAGACACATTGTAACCTTTGCAAAGAAATAAATTTTTGATTTTGATTTGACTTGATTTGACATCCACCTCAAAGAGTCAACATCACTTTCCTTTTAAAAGGGGAGGGCTAATATGACATGGCATCAGTGAATCCCTGGTGTCTGCCATGCTGTTTGCTGTAGCTGGCGCCCAATTGAACTGGCACTCCCACAAGGTACTAACTGGTCCAGATGTGATCAAAGTGATCAGCAATTGGTAATTTGGCCAATTTCATACAAAATTCCAGGCCAATTTCAAAACGGGGTCCAGAATAAACAATGCAAACATTCCTAGCACTAAAATAACATTTTCTCTATTCACCTATCATGTCCCCAGGCCCCTCTTATAATACGATTGCTTTCCATTTTGAATTTTTATTCACACAAAAAATAGAAGATTTACTGTTATGCAGACTACTGCATTATTGTAAAAATGGTATAAATAACATCAGCACATTTATAAAAGCATGTTAGATCCACCAGTTGATGTGTGACGTGATTTGTTTACTCTTGAACATCATCAAAAATCGAACATTTATGCTACTTTGAGCACACTATCAACCTACTTTTAGTCTGTAAACCATTCAAAATCATCTCTCTTTCTGTAATGTATCTCCCATTGTATCAAATGAGACCAAGAAAACGAGAATACAACCATAAATACCATATGAAAATACACCGCAAAGTTGCTGTTTTAAACCAAAAACACGGTCGTAGTTTTTTTTCTCATTATGCACTGTGCTGCAGGAATTTTTCTTTCATATGTAGGCCTACCAGCTATCTCCTGCATGATCAGAAGCCGCTAGAATTTTGATGTAGTATTACAGGACTGGCAGTGGCTTCAAAGCCGTAATATTACGGGACCGACAGTGAAAGGGTTAAATATAATCATTCAGTAAGTATGAGTATTTTCCAATGTAGTACTTTACTTTCAAAGTGATACCTGCAGTCCATTAATAGATTTATATAAAGTGTACTGTGTGTAGTTACCAGTTAGTATCCATAACAGCTAAACTTATGGTGTTTTGTCTATTTTATTGTCACTGAAGCAACTAGCTTTTTGTGCATCACATATCCATCCCGTGGATAGTAGTGAGAGATCATGCTGATACACCCAAGCTGGTGATTAATTTTCATATATTTTCATTACTTGGTACAACAGAGAAATGGAATCCCCCAACCAGCAGACAAGATGTCTTCATCAAAATCACTTGTAACACATTCAGGCATCCTCCCTGAAAGTACTGTACATTCAATACCGTACCGTTTCAATTACAAACAAAAGAAAACAATACAATAATCTTAACTTCCACCTTTACCTGTCTTATGTTTTTCTTCAGTTTGTTTTATTAGTCCAACATGCTTAAAATCACTTATAGTAGCACTGCATGACACATCAATCATACCTTTATCTGCTCAGCCTGGCTTACCAAGTTTTGCCAAGCTTGGTCTTCTACAATGCAACTCACTCGGTTCATCTCCTCCTCCACTTGACTTAGATTGTTGACCAGTCTCTGAGATTCAGTCACCATCCTCTCAATTTCCATTAACTGGATAAAGAAAAGAAACAAGAGACAATGATGATATAAACTGATTTTGGAAAAAATTATCACAATTCCGACACTCAAGCACAATACTATATTATCTTCATGAAAAAGTGCTAAATCTATGGTGGTCATACAGTGCGTAACTAAAGCACACTAACAAATGTGTGTATATTTGTGTTCATATATAATGTATCTCCTAGGTAGTAGGTTGGTAGACAGCAACCACCCAGGGAGGTACTACCATCCTGCCGAGTGTAAAATGGAAACCTGTAATTGTTTTACATGATGGTAGGATTGCTGGTGTCTTCTTTTTTGTCTCAAACATGCAAGGTTTCAGGCATGTCTTGCTACTTCTACTTACACTTAGGTCACACTACATATGCATTTTTTTTTTCAACAAGTCTGCCGTCTCCCACCGAGGCAGGGTAACCCAAAAAGAAAGAAAATCCATAAAAAGAAAATACTTTCATCATTCAACACTTTCACCTCACTCACACATAATCACTGTCTTTGCAGAGGCACCCAGATGCAACAGTTTAGAAGCATATACAGTGGACCCCCGCTTAACGATCACCTCCAAATGCGACCAATTATGTAAGTGTATTTATGTAAGTGCGTTTGTACATGTATGTTTGGGGGTCTGAAATGGACTAATCTACTTCACAATATTCCTTATGGGAAAAAATTCGGTCAGTACTGGCACCTGAACATACTACTGGAATGAAAAAAGTTCGTTAACCGGGGGTCCACTGTATAAAGATATATAACATACCCCTCCAAACTGCCAATATCCCAAACGTCTCCTTTAAAGTGCAAGCATTGTACTTCCCATTTCCAGTACTCAAGTCCGGCTATATAAAAATAACCAGTTTCCCTGAATCCCTTCACTAAATATTACCCTACCTCCAACAGCTCGTCAGATCCCAAAATCATTCATCTCTATTCATTCCTATCTAACACGCTCATACATGCTTGCTGGAAGACCAAGCCCCTCACCAACAAAACCTTTACCTCTTCCCCTCCCACCTTTTTGAGGATGACCCTTATCCCACCTTCCTTCCCCTACACTCTCCAAGTCATTCTGCTTTGATCCGCTCTCTCTAAATGACCAGACCACCTCAACAACCCCCTCTTCAGCCCTCTGATTAAAATGTACTTTTAGTAACTCCACACATCCTCCTAATTTCCACACTCCAAATTCTCTGCATAATACAGTGGACCCCAGGCACATGATGGCATCGGCATACGTTAAATCTGGCACACGAAACATTTTAACGCAAAATTTTTGCCTCGCCTCACGCTAAAGAACCCACCTCACGCAATTTGTCTGAGTGTGCCTCAGCTGCCTGCCAGTGTGGTTGCATCCACGCATACAATCGGAACATTTCATATTATCACAGCGTTTTTAGTGATTGTACCTGCAAATTAAGTCACCATGGGCCCCAAGAAAGCTTCTAGTGCCAACCGTGCGGTGTTGCTGCACCACCATCAGCAGTTGCTGCACCACAGTCAGCTGCTGCTACACCACGGCCAGCTGCTGCTGCACCACAGTCAGCTTCTGCTGCACCATGGTCAGCTGCTGCTGCACCACAGTCAGCTGCTGCTGCACCACAGTCAGCTGCTGCTGCACCACAGTCAGCTGCTGCTGCACCACAGTCAGCTGCTGCTGCACCACAGTCAGCTGCTGCTGCACCACAGTCAGCTGCTGCTGCACCACCATCAGCTGTTGCTGCACCACAGTCAGCTGCTGCTGCACCACAGTCAGCTGCTGCTGCACCACAGTCAGCTGCTGCTGCACCACCATCAGCTGTTGCTGAACCACGGTCAGCTGTTGCTGCACCAGTCAGCTGTTGCTGAACCACGGTCAGCTGCTGTTGCACCACGGTCAGCTGCTGCTGCACCACAGTCAGCTGCTGCTGCACCACGGTCAGCTGCTGCTGCACCACGGTCAGCTGCTGCTGCACCACAGCTGCTGCTGCACCACAGTCAGCTGCTGCTGCACCACGGTCAGCTGCTGCTACACCACCGTCAGATGTTGCTGCACCACAGTCAGCTGTTGCTGAACCACAATGAGCTGATGTTGCACCACAGTCAGCTGCTGCTGCACCACAGTCAGCTGCTGCTGCACCACAGTCAGCTGCTGCTACACCACCGTCATCTGTTGCTGCACCACAGTCAGCTGCTGCTGCACCAAAGTCAGCTGTTGCTGCACCTCGGTCAGCTGTTGCTGCACCTCGGTCAGCTGTTGCTGCACCACGGTCAGCTGGTCCTAGTGGCATTAAAAGAAGAAGGGAAGTAACCCCGGAAAAGGACGTACTACCTAAAGTCCTAATGGAAGGGGATTCCCCTTCCAAACATTAACAACTTCCATACTTTCCCCTCCTCCCATCCCATCAATCATCACCAGACCTTCAATAAAGGTACGTGTCAGTTTGTGTGTATTAAAATTAATATTTCATGTGGTAAAATTTGTTTTTTTTCATACTTTGTGGTGTCTTGCACGGATTAATTTGATTTCCATTATTTCTTATGGGGAAAATTAATTTGCCTTACGATAATTTTCGCATACGATGAGCTCGCAGGAATGGATTAATATCGTATGCCGGGGGTCCACTGTATTTACACTACACATTGCCCTTAGACAGGACATCTCCACTGCCTCCAGCCACTTCCTTTCAGCAGCATTTTCAACCCAAGCTTCACACCCATATAAGAGTGTTGGTATCACTATACTTTCATACAATCTCTTCTTTGCCTCCATGGATAATGTTTTTTTTTTTTTTTGTCTCCACAGATACCTCAATGCACCACTCACCTTTTTTCATTCAACAATTCTATGGTTAACCTCAATCTTCTGACAATCCTCAACCCTCTGACAAGTCAACTCCCAAATATCTGAAAACATTCACTTGTTCCATACTCCTCTCTCTCCACTGTGATATCCAATTTTTCTTTATCTAAATCATTTGATACCCTCATCACCTTACTCTTAACTATGTTCACTTTCAACCTTTACACACCCTCCCACACTCATCCGCTAACCTTTGCAACTTTTCTCTAGAACCTCCCATAAGCACAGTATCATCAGGAAAATGAAATTGTGTCAACTCCTTTTTTGTATTTGATTCCCCATAATTTAATCCCACCCCTCTCCCAAACACCCTAGCATTTACTTCTTTTACAACCCCATCTACAAATATATTAAACAACCATGGCAACATTACACATCCCTGTCTAAGACCTATTTGTATGGGGAAGTAATCTCCCTCTCTCTTACACACCCTAACCTGAACCTCACTATCCTCATAAGAACTCTTTACAGCCTTTAGTAACTTACCACCTATTCTATATACCTGCAACATCTGCCACATTGCTCCCCTATCCATTCTATCATATGCCTTTTCTAAATCAATAAATGCAATGAAAACTTCCTTACCTTTATCTAAATACTGTTCACATATGAGCTTCAGTGTAAACACTTGACCTACACATCCCCTACCCACTCTAAAGCCTCCTTGCTCATCTGCAATCCTACTCTGTCTTACCTCTAATTCTTTCAATTATAACCCTACCATACACTTTTCCTGGTATACTTAGTAAACTTATTCCCCTATAATTTTTATAATCTCTTTTGTCCCCCTTCCCTTTATATAAAGGAACTATACATGCTCTCTGCCAATCCCTAGGTACCTTCCCCTCTTTCATACATTTATTAAACAAAAATACCAACCACTCCAACATTATATCCCCCCTGCTTTTAACATTTCTGTGATGATCCGTCAGTTCCAGCTGCTTTACCCCCTTTCATTCTAAGTAATGCCTCATGCACTACCCCCACACTCATATCCTGCTCTTCTTCACTCCTAAAAGAAGTTATACCTCCCTAGCCAATGCATGAAATTACAGCCACCCTTTCTTCATTGACATTTAAAAGATCCTCAAAATATTCACCATCATCTACTCAATACCCCTAGCTCCCTATCTACTAATTCCCCTACTTTGTTTTTAACTGACAAATCCATTTGTTCCCTAGGCTTTCTTAACTTGCTTATCTTACTCCAAATTTTTTTCTTATAATCATCAAAATTTTTTGACAGTGCCTCTCCCACTCTATCATCTGCTCTGCTTTTGCACTCTCTCACCACTCCCTTCACCTTTCTTTTACTCTCCATATATTCTGTTCTTCTTATAATACTTCTACTTTGTAAAAACCTCTCATAAGCTACCCTTTTCTCTTTTATCACACCCTTTACTTCATCATTCCACCAATCACTCCTCTTTCCTCCTGCACCCACCCTCCTATAGCCAGAAACTTCTGCCCCACATTCTAACACTGCACTTTTAAAACTATTCCAACCCTCTTCAACCCCCCTCCCACTACTCATACTTGCACTAGCCCACCTTTCTGCCAATAGTTGCTTATATCTCACCCTGACTTCCACCTCCCTTAGTTTATACACTTTCACCTCTCTCTTACTTGCTGTTCCCATTTTCCTTGTCCCATCTACCTCTAACTGTAGCTACAACTAAACAATGATCCGATATATCAGTTGCTCCTCTATAAACATGTACATCCTGAAGCCTACCCATCAACCTTATATCTACCAATACATAATCTAACAAACTACAGTGGAACCTCTAGTTGCGAGTTTAATCTGTTCCATGACCTTGCTCGCAACTGGATTTGCTCGTTTGCAGAGTCAATTTTCCTCATTTAATTTAGTTGAAATGCAATTAATCTGTTCCAGCGGAATTCTGTACTTCAATAATTTTGCTAATATCAACTCTATGGCTTATCTATCTCTCTTCATCTGACATAATAAACAATATAAACACAGAAACCTGATATATACTCTAAAATGAATAAAATATGTAATTCATGTAGTGGTATGGGCAGTGTCGGCAGTGGACGAGTGTCTGGAGACCGGACAAAATACTTCATGATTAATAATTTTGCTAATATCATATACTATATGGCTTATTTATCTATCACAGTTCACCTAATATGACATAACAAACAATATAAATAACATAGAAACCTGATGCATACTCCAAAATGAATAAAAAATGTCATTCTATATGTGGTGGCGGCAGTGGCAGCGGCGGCCGACAAGAGTTTGTCTGGAGACAGGACAAAATACAGTGGACCCTCGCCTAA